TTGTTTTTAATTTAGCTCTCATTTCCTTTTTGAACAATCTAAGCAGATTTAGAACTTTGTCTGCTAAATCTGTTGAGGGAGGGACAGCCTGGAAGAAATGTGTGTTGTTTCTAACCGAAGATGCCATTTTTGGTTCTTTGGGTCCTGACTTATTTTTCATTTTTTTGGTAAACAAAATTTTATTTTCTTAGGAACATAACATATAAAATTAAATCATTCGGTCCATTGTCTACCCCATTCCCTCCCTCCCCTCCCTCCAATGGCTTCCCGCAATGCTTCTCCCCCTTCTTACAAATTTCTTTATATCATTAACACATTTTTTGAGGAAGTCTTTGAGAGTGCCCAAGTTGTTCCCTGAAAGTTTATATTTTTCAGATTTTGATGATGGCATTCAAAAAGCTGGGTGGCTTTTTCAGCTTTGGTTAACAGATTGTCTGGTGTCCCAGAACAAAGAGATTTCGACCACTATCAATCTGATGATGTCACTGGGATCTAATAAAGCACCGTCATTTGAAAATAATATTTCTGGCACTGAAATTTTATTTCAGAGATTCTTCTTTCCTCCTAACACCATAACAACCTCTTTTGTATGTTGCAATACTGTGGTTAGAAGGATATAGGGTACCAGGCCTCTGCACAAATGCCAGAAAACTTATTTTGGTAATGTTATAGCATTTAAAGCATTGTTCTCTTCCTTTCAGTAGTATTACATTATTCTTGCAAGGATCCTGTTACCTGCAGTCATTGTTTGTTAGTGTGAATTCATTTGATGGAAAATGGTTTGGTGGATGCTGGATATCGCTTTGTGGAAACCAATTTGGAGTATATTGTGCACCCGTGTTGCAAGTTAATCAGCCATGTCCTTTTCCACTGCTTAAAACAGAAGCACTTCTGACTACTGCCATAGCTGACCGATCAGTTCTTACATTTGGGCCTATCCAGTTTTCAAGAATTACTGAAAGGATGCCGTTGGACTGATGATAGAATGTGAAGTGTTGTGACGCATCATGTGTTGCCATAAGTAATCTCATGTCTGTCCTACATTTTCTGTAAAATGATGATACAGTTTTCTCGATGTTGATAGTGATGTTTAGAATAGCATAACAAGCCCAGCAGATTCTCCCAGAGAATCTCTGCAGTAAAAAGTGGTGTGTGTGTGTGTGGGTATTATTTGCAAGGCCACCAGTTGAACCAGTGCCACCGCCAAGAAGCCAACAGAACTAAGATCAAATATGAGAATCTCTGAAGTACAAACTGAGGGGTGGCATTTCTACAAGGACAGCAGAAACAGTACACTGTACTAGTCGCCAGCAGCAGAACCCAAGCAGAGCCAACCTACTAGTGACCAGCAGCAGAACCCTGTGCCATTGTGGCATTGTGCCCCACATGTCTGCTCCAATGTCAAGCACAGCCACAGACATCACAATCTGAGCAAAGGGGAGGGGCGAGGGGCAGGGGAAGCCAGGTAGCGGCTGGATTTCAGCAACAGTCTCACAAAGTTGCAAGCCTGCAATGCAATGCCATGCCATGCCGTTTGCAAATGCAGTGCAGTGATTGGCTGCAGAGGTCTCCCCCCCCCCATTGCCCTGGAAATCAGGGCAAATGGTGGGAAAGAGGCAGAAATGGTGGTAAACAGCAAGGCAGAGGAAGTCTATCTCTTTAACTTTTAACAACACACACACACTTCCTACTGCAGTGATTGGTGTAGTGGTTAAGTGTGTGGACTCTAATCTGGGAGAACCGGGTTTGATTCCCCACTCCTCCACTTGCAGCTGCTGGATGACCTTGGGCAAGCCATAGTTCTGTCAAAGCTGTTCTTGAAAGAGCAGTTCTCTCAGAGCTCTCTCAGCCCCACCTACCTTACAGGGGGTCTGTTTTGGGGAGGAGAAGGGAAAGGAGTTTGTAAGCCGCCTTGAGACTCTCTTCTCTTCTATCCTAGGAGAGATTTGCCATTGACTATAATGGCCCCATAGGGTATAATGGAGCTGAATATATTTAGGAATCCCAAATATACTTGGGAATCTATTCGGCTGCCCAATACACACCAGAGAATCACATTTGGCTGAATATATGCCCAAATAATGCTGATAAGGCCTTAAATGTGTATATATTCAGCATGGCTTCCTCTGAATGCACATCTCTACTAATGTGCAGGAAGATTATTTAGTATGTGTTTTGGAATTTTTGGAATTTTAGACCTACTCAAGCAAATATGAAAAGATACATGCTAGCCTATGCTGACATCAGATAGGCATTTCATTATGGGTTCTTTTCCTGAATAGTCTGTGACTACAATTGTTAAAAATAAATTTCCCTTTGTAGCAACTCAGTATCTAAGTATTAACAATAACACTCTAATTGTAAGTATCCAAACTGTCAAACATGAATACTGTATAGGTTTTGGAAGAGAATCAAAATGTAGAGTTTTAAGAATTTTTTAAACCATAGTTTAAAAAAACTGGGGGGAAGTAGGAGGAAACAAATGTGATAAATTGGAACCTAAACTTATAAAACCTAAATTTATTTAACTGTGCTAACCTAAAATGCAACATTTATAACATCATTTCATATAAAATGACATTATTTGGCATGCTTATGAAATTTGAAAGTATAATTCCCCTATTTTGCTACAAGCAAAATTTCAAATACATTCAATACCAAAGAGAGAGAACTAAAAACTGTTCCACCCTATGCTACCTTACCCATCTGTATCATAATTTTGGTCATTTGAGAAGCCGAAAAAAATAAACATTGAAAATAGGAAACAAATTGTGTGGTAAGCTAAGGATTAGGTAAAGGTAAAGGTTCCCTTGCTCGAAAGCCAGTCGAGTCTGACTCTAGCGTTGCGGTGCTCATCTCCGTTTCAAAGCCGAAGAGCCAGCGCTGTCCGAAGACGTTTCCGTGGTCATGTGGCCAGCATGACTAAACACCAAGGCGCACGGAATGCTGTTACCTTCCCACTGAAGTGGTACCTATTTATCTACTTGCAATTTCTTGCTTTCGAACTGCTAGGTTGGCAGGAGCTGGAACTAGAGATGGGAGCTCACTCCGTCATGCGGACAGAAACAGTCTCATACATTCACATGTTTGGATATCAAGATAAACACTGAAATCATTTAACTTTTTAATAGCATAATATACTCATTGTATTATGTGAATAGTCATATTTATCCAAATATATTATTGAAAATATTCCAGCAAGGCTGGGGAACAAACTGCTTTTTCCTGATCGAAAGAGAGAGCTGCAGGGATTAACCACCAGTGTGGGGCAGGTCCTGGCTTCTCCTGTCTCCAGCAAGCGAGATCAGAGGCACCTGACTGGAGGGCAGGCAGCAAGGCACATGCAGAGAATCCTCTGCCTGCTCTTTTCATGAAGATTCAACACCTTCTGGATGCAGAAATGCATCTTGGATATTATATTACTACAGTATACAGATAAATTATTCTCTGATGCATTGCCTTGCTTGCAAACCTTCCCATTATGTTTTGAGTGAGTAGTATTTTTTTCTAAGGTCATGTCACTCATTCCCAAAGAAAGACTATGTCACAAGATTTTTCTGGTGCTCTCCAACATTTCCTCTGGGAATAGAATGCTCCTCCCCCCAATCTTTTCTGGGCCTTCACATTTCCAAGAGGGAAGTATGATATGCTCCATTGGCCACCATTACACACTATCCCTTCTTTCTGCCAGTAGACTCTTTCTGAACCACATCACTCTTGTGGTTACACAGCTGTACACATAAACATGTCATGTTTGAACTGTCTCTCAGTGGTTTTATATTGCTAGCACTGATAGCTGGTCTTCCCTCCATAGGACCTATGGCTTTGGACTGTATAAAGTATTGTTTCAGTATCCTTCATCACATGGGCACCTGGACATTTCTCTCAACAAAAGCCGGTCTTTAGAAATTCCTGGGAGCTTGATGTGGCTGGCAAAATGCTCAGGGGTCTGGAAAGCAAGCTCTTACCACAACCATTGCATAGTACCCCAGTTACTAAAGGCATAATAATCTCAAGCTTCTCTCCTAGCTCAAAATACATCATTCTTGGGTGTCCTGTGACTCAGAATTGCTTGGTATTTCTAGGCATCCAGTATTAACTCTCTTTGCTTGTGTAGCCTGCCATTCCTATGAACATATTAAATTAAAATGAAGCCTGTGTCTTATTAGGGTATTGTTCATTTGTTTAGAAACGGACTTCCTTCAGATAATAACACTGGTGATGATTTTAATGGAAGGTATTTGAGGACTTTGCCTGAAGAACACTAAAAACCAGTCCCTTCATAAACCAATCCCTTCGTAGGCAACAGGGGAGGGGGGGAATGTGCGTGTGTTTTTCTCTGAGGCATTGAAAGGGTGGGTTTGGATAGTAAACATACATAGTAATCATGTCTTATGAGGAAAACGTGCAGTAGAAGTCTTCTACAACCAGACTCTTTGTCATCAGTAACTACGCAATATGAATATTGTATGAAACTGCTGTAAGTGTTCTGGGGTTCTGCACCCTGATCTGTCTTGCACTATATCATGCATTTTAAGGCACAGTGCAACAAATTAAGTATGTTTCCTAACCTTAGGGAAAGCAAAGGAGTACAAGTATCTGGAGGGGGGGGGCTAAAGCTGTGCTAGATTACCATCATTCTCCAAGCCTTAATCTTGCCCAGTAATATTTGTGGTTGTATTGTCCTCAGTTTACTAATGTTAATCAGTGTGTGGTGTAACTTAACATGCTCACTTGAGTAGCTGCTATTCTCCATATGTAAGGACTGAACGGTCAATTCTGTTTTCCCTCTTAGAGGATATAATGCAACTGGATTGATTTATGGGGACTATACTGCATGGACACCCTTACCTGCTTCTGAGATTTTTTTAAAAAAAATGAATATTAGATGACTGTATGCCTCTTCACCACTGTGGCTGCAAAGAACGACCATTAGCTGTATGAGGAATCTGAGGGCAAACTATGTTTAAATAATTAACATGTATCTTCTATCTGAACAGGTTTTGACAGATCTGAAGTCAGACAATCAGCGGCTGAAAGACGAAAATGGAGCCCTCATCCGAGTCATCAGTAAACTCTCAAAATAGTACACTGAGCAGAGGAGGGATATGAAGAGAGGACTTATGTGCACAAGCTGCCAACCCTGCCACTTGCTTTTGATCCTCCGGTTGAAAGAACTTCTGGAGTTTTCGAGATGGAACAGTTGGTCACGCCCTCTGCTACCTTGCACCTTGCTGGGCTTTCTCATATTGCACAATGCGCATCCCTTTGCCCTCAAATGCATGGCATATCCAACCACCAATTTTATTATTTTTAGAATGTTGAAATAATCCCATCGTTCCAAGGGACAAAGAATGGGTTAGTCTCCTCTGAGCTACCCCAACAATCTGCTGTAAGCCCTATTTCCGTCCACCATAACCCCATGGAAAGAAGCATCTACTGTAATAAGTTATATGGAAATGACTATACTTTGTTGATCCAACATGTCTTAAGGTGGTGGAGTAGGGGATAGGGAGTGAGACTGGGAATTGTCTTGAAGATGTATGGGAGTCTGCAATGCTGTGAATGCCACAGTGACTTATTTCTCTGAGAGTCTATGACAACAGTTACTTGGCTTGGAGATCTGGGTTCTCCTTGTGTCTCAGTAGCTGACTGACTTATTTAATTTAAGATTTTAAATCTAACTTAACTTTGGGATCTAAATTAGTGTTTCCTCTGTTTTTCTTTTCCTCTGCAACCCACCTCATTATGCTTCCTATACTGTTTCTTTCTGTGATAACCTTTGCTGGCATAGTTTAATACAATTTTTTTTTAGCATCCACCTTCTTCAGCTAACATTTTGCCCTCATGATTCAAATGAGAAAGTATTTACCAGCAGAATGGTTTACCAAGTTCTGTGAATTATCCATGCAGGCAAAACATATATACAAGACACCAACACGCCTTTTATTAGCAAAACAGCACACTCCTTTTTGACACTTACTGCATGAAAAAGCCCTTTGAATATCTAGTCAAACATGTTGTATAACTATGGTAAATTTTCAATGGATCGTGAAATCAGTTGAAGGTATAAAAGTGTTTGGGGAGTTAAAAGCAGGAGATGTAGAGAAACTGAGTAGAGATGCTTATCACTGTGGGAAGTGAGGGTCCTCAATCCTGATGGAAAGACTTGAACATTCTGCATAATATCTGATACCGCAGTCATTTTGCCTGTCATAAATTCATTCACGTTTTATATCTAGTAAGGAAATTACCAGCAGGATTTGCATTGCTCAGACCCTGTTTTCTGTATTTACTGTAAATGACTGTCATGAATTCTTAAAATGTGACTGTTTCATATGACATGTTTTGCTGTTTTTAAGAACCAGCTTTTACCTGCAGATCCTAGTGAAGAGTCCTGGTCTATAACATGTTACCTTGTTCAGTAGGCTGGTTTTCCCCCCATGTGTTCTTCCTCTTCCAAGACATGCTGTTGTTTTCATGAAGCTATTTGAGTCTTCAGATACCTTGGCTTTGGTATAACTTTCTCACCATTGCTTAGAAAAGAACCAGTGGGAACTGAGACTAGCCACTCACTACTAGATTTGTGAGTTCTGTCAAGGTAGGACACTCCTAGCAGTGTTCAGTGGGGCAAGATGTCCATCTATGTTTGCTTTACTATGGATCACCTTCTAGACAAAAGTATAGTTGGCCTTCATAATCTTTGGATGTTCCCAACCCAGATGTTTGCATTCCCATCAATTGGACAGAATTGCAGTGAATTCTCTTAAGAGCCAGTCATCCCCATGTCTGGATTGGCCAATAGAGTTGCTTCTTTCCTTTGGTTTCAAACTCTAGTATAGTGAATGTTTTTGCATATCAATTTTGAACAGAAAGAAACTAAAACCTGAGTTTTTCAGTAGCCTGGGATATTGTCTTGCATTCAAACTCTTTTTGAAGAACACACATTCAGGTTTTTTGATGGGTCAATTATATTGTGCAATTCCTTATACTTCTATTGATATGATCCATTGCTCTTATAAACCGACCTTTGTATGTTTAGAGTTTTTGATGCTTACCTTACTTTCCACTTCTTGTCCCAGACCTAGATAACCCAAGAACCAGTACCTTCTTTATGCAGTTAGGGGCTAAAGTATGTCCTGACCTCTCTGTGAGTGATACTTTCCAAGTCTCAGGCATGCTAGCTCATTATCTGGCAGATTTTTATATGGGCAAGAAATTTCAGCTGATCCTGTTTGTCATAAACAGTCAGTTATAATCCATTCTGTAGTGATGATCTATATTCTGCTGTAGTCAGTTCCTACTGTAATATGATTAAACCATTCACACAGTTTCATCTGTATGACCTTAATGGCAAAACTATACTAGCGCATATAGGATTTAGGAAACATGAAAGTTGGTGCCATATGGAGGACTAAAGTTAGGATCCAGTATATAAACTTGCACCCTGTCTAGGTTGGAAATTGTGTGAACAAATTAATCCATTTGACTAGCCAAAGTACTAACTTGGTGCTAGAGAAAAAATGGCATCAATATATCCCAGAGGGTCATTGTCGGCAGTTGTCATGCAGCTGGACATTCTGGACTGCAAGATATGCGTTCTGATACACTTTTCCCTGTTCAGTGCTCAGCGTTGTCTCCCTTGGTAAAATATCAAGGGCTTTTCCAAGTAAATCAATTGAGAACCTGTTTTTATCCCAGCACTAAAATAAACAGTTATTTTAATATAGGTTTTAAATGATGGAGCAAACTTTCCTGATGAAGTTAGCTCTCACACAGGTAGATTTGCCTCTGGTTTTAACCAAGAAAATCCAGAGAGGCAAAATTACTGTTACTGGATAATGATGGCTTAATACCAGTAAATTTTAGTGTTCAGAAGGATTTTATTTAATGGTATGATTATGGAGTATGCTAGGATGTTCTCTGCATAAATTGCAGGTTGTAGAGAGAAACTATTGAAATCTTAGTCTGAGTGGGCTTATATGGGCATTCAAGCTGTGGGCACTGGAAGAGTTTTCTTTAAACTTCTCAGTGGAGCTCTCTTCTATACTGCTTTCTTACCCTTAAAAGCTTTTATAGCTAAGATGTACATCACAAGCCGTATGCATGTATATGGTCTTATAAACCTCTTCCACAGCAAAGCTGAATTTTCTCTGCAACTATTTCTTTGAATTAGGAAGCCTTTCTCTGAGTAAGGAAGAAATAGGGAAATAGGACCAGCTTTGTTACCCACAAATCATAAATGTAATGGGCGGAATTGTTGGTCAGAGTGAAGTTTCAGGTGACACTGGAGGCATGCAGAAAGAACTAAATAGACATTTGTATAAAGAAGTCTCAAGAGCTGACATTCTGTGGCTGACTTGGGTTAAGAGGGGCTGTGATGTATTTTAGAAATAGTGGTGTACAGTTGTGATAGTGAATAAAGGCTGAGCAGTTAGTGGGAAACATTGTCAAATGAACAATAGAGGTATAAGCTGCAAGAGCAAGTATGTTTTCAGAGTGGCTTCAGCTATATCTAATGACAGTTGACCAAGTACAGTGTAGTAGCAGCTCTCATCATATCTGTATTGGTTTGATGTTAGCAGAGGATTTATGGACAAGTCTAAGGAACTGAACAGATGTGTTTCAGCCAGTCATTGAATGGCATACCTGTAAGAAGGGAAGTGTTATGAGTGTGCTATGTTCTGTCAAATAAAGTCAGATTGGTTGATGGGTTTTTGTCTACATGACAGCCCTATAAAGACCTGACAGCATAGTAATTGGTATCTTATCACTTCCATATAGGTGAACCCCCCACCATCAGTGTGGCTGTTCATTAGTGTTTAAAGCTCTTATTCCCATGGAGTCACAAGGAATGATAAGACTAGCTCTAGCTGTGCTTAGGCAGACAGGAGACAACAATTTGCTTGATATTACAGGAAAGTCAGGTCCATTGGTGTCTGAAGAATGGGACAATTGGAAAGGTTCAGGATAAAATGTATTGTTGCTGTGGCCAAATGTTGCCTCAAGTGAATTCCCAGGCAAAGGTTAAGCTTAATGTGTGATCATAGAGAGGAAAATATGGTCAGTTTACCAACTTAGGACAGGAACACAACATATATAGTCTTGCTTACCACATAACTACTAGCATTGTTTTTAAAGATGGAGGGTTACCTGTGATGATACACTTTGCATCCCACCTTGGATTTTGACTCTTTCCTAATGTCTTTCTTGTAGCTTTGTGTGCATCAGTAACTGAATCTGCTTTGGTAATACTTCTCAGGTATTTTGAAGCCTCCCTTCCTTGCTGAGATCATAGTTCTGTCACTTGCACTGGCTGCACCTTTTATACAGCCTTTCCAAGAGTCCTGAGGCTGCGCGATGGGTTTGCTGTAGGTCCCTTTTCTCCGTGCTTTCATCTTAAGCAGCTGACATTGTAGCTGAGCTAAAGCACAGGGCAGCTCCTAAGTCCAGCACTTGTGTATGTAGTTCCTCCTATGGTCAGATATATGAAAAAGAATGTAATATTCTCTTGAAAGAAGACTTCTTTGCTTTGAATTTATAAATCTCTGGGGCCTTTTCTTGGATTGTGTTAGGCTTGGATCACATTTGCCTTCATGTTTTAAAAATACTTTTGTGTGGCTTGACTACTTGAGGCAGCATGTCCCAAGAAGAGCTCCATACCAAGGGTACCCCTGAACAGCTCACAAGTGTTGGTACTTGAAATTAGCTACATCCATGGTCACTTCTGTCCTTCTCGTTTCTTTCCCATGGCGCTAATTTCCTCTCTCTCTCTGAGATGAGTTGGTAAATATATCTTTTTAACTATCCTCAATAAAACTGATCAACAGCAGGGCCTAATCCATTGCTGCAAAACCTGTTGTGCTTCCCCCACCACCCTTTGTTCATGCTGTTGAGGATCCTAGCAAGGAGAACTCCCTTAAAATGCTAACTCCTGGGGAAGAGAGTGTGGTGTTCTGCTGTTGGCTTGCTAACTTCCTGAGCAGCGAGTATTCTGTAATTATCTGTTTTAAGGAGAGTTTTACAGATTTGTGTAAATACAGTACTTGGAGAAAAGACTAGCCTGTGAGTGGTGGGAAAGAATGTATTTTTATGCAACTTTTTGAGTGGCCTTTCAAACTCTGAGATGAATGATTTTTGTTTTACTGATTGTTATATAGCGTTCGAAGTATTATGTTTGAAAGTTTGGGAATAATATTCACAGCTATATGATGCTTGTAAACACAACAGTATTTATAAATGAATAAATAAGTGCTTTAACACTGCCTGGATCTTCCTAAATAGGGAGGGGTGTGTTTTCTTGATGCTCTGCTGGGGGGCATGACTCAATAATAGAGCACCTGCTTTCCACGAGAAGGTGCTAAGATCAGTGTCCAGCATCTCCAGGTAAAGATCTTGGGAGCAAGTCTGGGACAGACCCTGCCTGGAACCATGGAGAGCTACTGCCTGTCTGAGTAGATAACACCGGACTAAAAAAACTGATGGGCCAACTGAGGCGGCTTTTTGTGTTTGGTTACAAAAGTAACTTCTTCACAGAGGAAATTTCCCTTCTGCTGACTCTTCTGAGGAAGTAAAAATTGCCTTATTGTTCATCACTCAAATAAGAGTGTTGATTCTCTGAGGTCATGTTGTCCTAGTTAGGTGAAAAATATGAAAACGCTGGCTTGGAAAAAAACCAGTGATACAAACTAGAAGAACTGAGAGTTTGAGTAAGAACAAGGAAGGAATCTGAGTCTTCTTAACTTGTTCCAGCCGTGCACAACCCAAGATTTGTGAGAATAAACCATGAAGCCTTGCCCATGGCGTGAGCATGGAAGACCAAGGTTTGTTTGTCATCTAGACACAACCTGAGAATCACTAAGCCCTTAATGAGTATGCTACTCTGGTACCGATACAGTTTTGGGGAGTGGGGGCTGGATTATTTCATTTAATCACTAATTAGTTTATTACAGTACACCCAGAAAGCAGCTGCCTGCTTGCCATGGGAAAGCATGTATCCTCAGTACAGAAATTAAGAAGACCCAACAATATTACAAACAGTATGCAGATGGGCAAGAAACCCGCTGAAGCTGAACCACTCTCATGTATGTTCTGTAGAGTCCCAGTACACCAGAACAAAGCACATGGTTCCCTAAGAGAAATGTAATGAATACTTATAATATTTAACATTTATATACTATTTGCCATGCACATTCGAGGTGCTTTACATCTATTCCCACAAGAACTCTTTAAGGTAGGCTATTACAATGTCTGGGAAAGTGTGGCTTGCCTAAAGCACCCAGTGATATTTCAGTGAGATTTGAACCAGGGACTTGCTGAATCAGTTAATTCTCTTAAACACTATGCTGTCTTACACCTTTTTGTTGTACTACAATACTACAGCTTTCTGTATTGTGTGAAGAATGGGGTGGTAGATTCAGGTGGTATAATTCTGAGCTGTACGGTTTCTGAAAATCTTCTGAAAATTTCATCTGCATAAAAATATTCCTTCATACAGAAAACTAGCAGAGCAAGGAGAGGATTATAATATGACAACCCCTCCCCCCAAAAAAATATCTGGAATCTGAGTAAGTACAATTTACACAGAATGAGGTGATAGAATTCTCAAGTGTATAACAGTCTATGAGAAAGATCTGAGGACAACCTTCCTAGCCTTGCCTTGACAAGGGAAGTAAATATGGATACGTAGCTTCCAAAATACATAAACTTTCAAGTTTCTGTATGTAATTGTCCAAATTGTTTCTAATTCACCAGTTTCAAGGAACTCTTCATCAATATGCTGACCTGCAAAGATTTCCCTGTGGGCTTCCACAGGCCAGAACTCCAAATTTGACAGAAAGTGTCAATAGTGTTAAGTAGCTGCTGATAAGGAGTCTGCTATGTTGGAAGCCATCCCCGAAGCCTCCCGAACAGTACAGGAGCTGTTTTCAGAAGGCAGAGGGAAATAGCAATTCACAGTGGCAAGGAACTCCTTCCCCAGGTCTCAGCCTCATCTGAACTTGAACAACCACTGCCTTTATGTACAGAATGAACACTTCCTTCATCAATCCCACCCATGCATAAAGAAATTCTATACACTGTGCCACTGTTACAAGCTCTTAGGGTTGTTGAGCTCTAAATATGGATGCCTGGCATATTCCTCCTCTTAAACTAACAAAACTAACATCATCTTCATAGTTGGTTTCCCCCTTGTCTAGCTACTGTTTCCTGCAAACAAACATTTCTTCTGAGGTAGGAGGCATGGGAAGAAAAATCCCTGTGTTAATGTATGCAGATGACACGGTGCTTCTTTCACGTACTAGAGGAGGTCTAAAAAGGGCGTTAGAAAAATTTAGTGCACAATGCCAAAAAGAGTCTCTTACTGTAAATTACTCAAAGACAAAGATCATGCGTTTCCATAAAAAATACAAAGAAATGAAATGGTCAATGGACGGGGTACTGGTAGATCAAGTTAAAATTTTTAAATATTTGGGACTAACCTTCTCATTTAATGGAAAGGCTTCTAGACATCTCCAAAATGCTGCATGTTCCGCACAAAAGAGTGCAAATGCTATATTGTGCTTCTTTAGGAAAGAGGGAACCCAATATGTCCCGGCTGCTCTTAAATTATTCTTGAGCAAAGTTCTCCCACAAATGATATATGGAACACAAATACTAGCAGAGAGTAAATTTAAAGATCTAGAGGTAGTACAATCGAAATTCCTTCGAGCACTTTTCAACATCCCAAAAGGTACTGCAAATTTGAGTTTAAGACAAGAAGCAGGTTTATCTACTGTTACACTGAATATTTGGATTCAGAGGAGTAATTATTGGGTTAAGTCCCATTTGAATCCAGTGGGACTTATTCCTGATCTTTTGGCATCAACACCATATCCCCAATGGGCTCTTAGAGTAGTAGATAAATTGAAACTAATTGGGTTAGATCCTGAAAATCTGCTAGAGGGAGGTCTGCAGCATGCAAAGAATTTAATATACCAAAGATTTAAGGATATTGAAACACAAAACGACTATGCAGCCCTGCCTTCCTATTATAAGAGATTACAGCAGGGACCAAGTTTAAATGCCGCATCTTACCTTGGACTTATAAAAAACCCTAACCATAGATGGGCATTTACTAGAGCACGGCTCGATGTGTTACCCTCAGCAGTACTTTATGGTAGATATACCCGGACTCCCATGCACCAGAGAATTTGCTCCTGTCTGTTAGAACAGGTGGAGTCGGCCGCCCATATATTACTCCATTGTCCTATGTATGATGAAGAGAGACAGCAGCTGCTGATACCCCTTCTCGCACGTTTTAAACCCCTGGCTAATTATCTTACATATGCCGAGGAATGCTTGATGAAGTTCTTACTGGCTGATACTTATGATTCTGTCACACGCAATGTTGCTAAATATTGTTACTTGGCAATTAAAAAGCGCAATGTACTGTAACTCAAGCCATTAATGATGGAATTGACCGGTGTGGTATTTTAGGAATTAAGCTTGTAAGGTTCTTATGTTGTAGACTCTGTGTTTAATATTTTGGTTCATTTTGCTGGTCTTATGACTGTTCTTAATAAACTTACTTACTCTGAGGTAGGAGGCTAAATGCCATCAAATACACAGGCTTGAGCTTTTAATGAAAAACACTGATAGAAAACTGCCACCAGCTATGTATATGGCATATAGAGAGGGGGAAAGAACCCCCCTAGGAAAACCCAAATCAATTAAATAGAAGCATCCATTTTGATCCAGGAAGTAACATTTAAAGATGGTCCAGTGTGACTTTCCACAGATTACCCATTGTACCTCTTCTCAAGACCTCTGGGTGGGGGGGGGAGTCAAGTGTGCTAACTTATGGGCTCTGGCCTCACCGTAATACACATAGTTATCTTCACTAAATAGTTTTCTGGGTTGGCTATAGTGTAGGCTTCTGGCTTATCCTGCTGTTGAGTGAGAAGCTGATAGGGTGGCACCACTCCTCACTTGAGAATAAGTCCAAGGACAGACAAATAGATCCCACAGAATGCAGCTGTGTGAAGTTAGATTCCAACAGATGAACACACAGAGGGGCATGTGAGGACAAAGACACCAAGTAGGTAGTTGGTTTAGTGCAGGATGAGACACAGGAGTGATGATGACAGTCCTTGCTTTAGGCTCCAGGTGTGACGGACAGGAAACTGTCCTGCCCCTGAAGGGGAACACAGCCACTCACTTGAGCGTATGGGAGTGATGCTCCAGCATCTAGTCATCCTTCAGGAGGAGAATGGAATGTTGGAGCGGAAGCACAGCAGGAGTTTAGTTCAGGTCTGCCTCAAGGAGCGCGTGGAAGGAGTTCAGTTCTGCCTCAGAGAGAGAGAGAGAGCAGTGAGAGCTCAGGTCTGGCTCAGGAAAAGAGCAGCCGGAGGGAAGTGTTTAGCTCTACCTCTGAGAGAGAATAAGAGTACCCGATTGCTAGGTCTCTGGTGATGAGCAGACCTTGTACCATTTTGTCTGACTGCTGGGAAAGGGCAGCTGGAATCCTGTGTGTGAGAGAGGATCCAATCTAGTGGCTAGTCAGTAGAAGCCCGTTTGTGCCTGAAAGCGTTAAAGAAAATTCAGACTACTCTCTGAAGCCACAGCTAGTTTTAATTCATGTGCCTCCGCCAGGTTTCTCCTTTGGCTACCTGGAGACTTGTGCTACTGATCTGTTCTTTGAAACCAGCCTGTAAATAAATCTGTGTGTGGTTTGTATAAAACTCCTGCGTCAGTGATTCCATATTCTATTTGCTCACCACAAAACTTACCTCATGGCAAGAAACCCAATATACATTTGCTACCTTTAGAACCCCTGATAATTGAGGGGAAGGTTTGCAGTTTAAAACAACCCCAATCCCCCCCCAAAAAATCATTGGAGGCTGTGGGGGGTCCCCTCAGTTTGTAGAAAAGGCCTGTCTATCTAGGGGATTAAAAAAATTGACCTGAGGGCCACCTCTGGATCTCCACCCACTTTTCAGGGCTTTGAGTTGGATGCTGGCTCTTCCAGCTCAGGCAGCAGCCTGCTCTGCTGCTCATGATGGCACGCAGGCTGTTTAATTGGCATGTGGGAGCATCTGCCCACCAACCCACGCAGCAGTCCAGTCCCTGAGGCTTCTTGTAAAGCAAGGAACTTGGGGGGAGGGATTTAGCATGCGGTCCACAGGCTGTTATCTTCCCACCTGTGCTCTAGTTCTTCTTCTTCTTCTAAATGACAGCTTGGCACACTGGGGCAAAGGAATGATCATACAAGACAGTTTGCGGGAT